CGCGGTAGTCTAGTGGCTAAGGTACTCGGCTGCTGACCCGCAGGTCGCGGGCTCGAATCACGGCTGCGGCGGCTGCATTTCCGATGGAGGCGGAAATGTTTTGGCTCGTGTGCTCAGATCTGGGTGCGCGGTAAAGCACCCCAGGTGGTCGAAATTTCTGAAGCCCTCCACTACGGCGTCTCTCATAATCATATGGTGGTTTTGGGACGTTAAACCCCACAAATCAATCAGCAGTACTTGCGTCTCTGAAAGGCTGCTTGGTTTATCTAGCGCGAACAACACACAATTAAACTGCCTAACAGTGCGGTTCGCATTTAGCAATCGCAATATGATCTAGTAGCTCTTTCGAAAATTCATATGTGTCTCCTGTTTCAGTTGAGGCGTGCACGCAAGCAACGCGCCATTCCAGCGACACTAACACAACATCCCACACAGCTATCCGCCCGGTCTCACAGGTTTTTTACTATTGAGGTTTAACACCGAGTGCCTGTCGCACAAACAGCTGACACCCAGCTGATACGCCGAATGGATCACAAACCATCGCATGATACCGAGCTAAAAAGTGCCACACCATTCTCTGCTTTAGGACGAACTTTGTTTCTTGCACCGCTAATAAACGCCATGTTCATCGACTAACTGGCTCAACTGATTCAGTTTTTTCTTTGGAGCAAGCGCTACGACATTCATAGAAGTGATGCAAAACGTCTTATTAAGATTTACCATTGAATAAAAAAGGGACAGTGTGAGCAAGGCACTTACCCTGCAAAACACGATTCTGCCAAAGGCAGCGTCCATCTGAGCGAGACACTCCGATCATGCTTGCGGCGCATTGGCCCCGCTGCGGTTGGCCAGGCTGTTGGGCCGTGGTTGATCAAGAGGTTGTTGGGCCGTGGTTGATCAAGAGGCTGTCGCGTCGTTGGTGTCTTCATCTGTGGTTCGCCGCCAACATTGACTTCGTTAGCATCGTCCGTGTCGCCACTGATTCGTGAGACCATTTCACGAGTGTGCGCACTAGTAGATTCAGCAGCAACACGTTTATGAGTAGTTTGGCTTCGGAATTTTTCGATGCCTCGCCCGAGACTGCATAATCAAGCGTTAACCGTCACTGGGATGAGTTGCACCCGTGTTCACCTCATTGACGGCCTGCTGGGAATCACCCGGTCGTGGAATTTCCTTTGTCGTCATATACACGTTGTCGCCGTTCCACGAGCTGTTCCGCCTCATTGATAAAGGGTTCTGCGAGATCATCCTCCTTAGCAAGCGTGACCACAGCGTTGCAACTAAATTAGCGCGCCTCATCGTGCCCGAACCGGCGACGTAGATTGCATCGTCGTAGTACTTTGCAGTTCCTGTGGGTGTGTCCTGTAGTATACTCTTGCAATGTACACCTATCCAGAGGCACTCTAGCAGGCCCGACGACCGAGGCTATTTCATCCGTCTGATGCTAAATGATGTCAATCTTGGCGCCGCTCTTCGGCGTCACACTAAAGAAAGAAGGAGTGAAAAGGTTGCCTTTTTGTCTCACAACTATAATCGTTATACTTGTTTCTTGCGTTTTCTTTCTTGAAAACTCGGCACTCACCCCCTTCCTATCAATAACGCCATGTCACGCTGATAACGCTTATGCTGGTCGTGACTTAACAGTACCGGACGGCGATAATGCAAGGGAAGAGACACTAGGCAAATGACAATTATTGTTGTGGTAGAAAAAAACGTCCTTTTTACTTGTTCATATTCCTTTTTTTTTTAAGTGTCACTCACCACCATCCGTATTGATGGCGCTTTCTCGCTGACGCCGCACGCCCACCATTTCTACCATGTGACATCCGTCATTCTTCCCCTAATGGAACGATTCCCACTCGCTGAACTTCGTCAGTGACGCCATGCAGCAAAAAAATGAGTCTATAGAGACGCATATCCAGGTTGTTAGTGGCGGTATACAGACAAGGACGGTCTTTCACGTCTTTAGCAGTCAGTGGCTTAATGGATACCTCAAAATTGTTCGGCGAAGTTGTCCACATGTGGTTGATCTTCTACTTTCCAAAAACAAGAACATTAGGGAGATCACGCATGTTCGGTCAACGCGTCCTCACAGTCTTCGAATAGAAATCGCCTGAGTCTGGCGCGTCACCACCCCGCATGAGCACCGTGTTGCTAAAGGTAATTGCTGCTGGCAAAGAACGTAGCATCACATCGTCCTTTGCGTAATAAAACATTTCCAGAGCCCGCCTGGGCCACTATCATCACTCCTTGAGTGTACTGAAAACGTCTATAGTACACTCTAATCGCGGTGCTGAAGCAAGTTATCCCAGTAACCAATGACAGTGTTGCTCACACATTTTGAACCCAACAGGTCAAAAAAAAAAACATAATAGGTGATGAAAACAGGAAGCAAGCGCCGCTAATCTAGTCGGTAAAAAACAGTTTCCGTTAGCGCGGGGTCCTAGGCTTGGAAGCCTGCGCAGAAAGGAAAGTTTATTTAAACAATTCACAGAAGCAGAAGCGCTTATACACTAACGACATAAATTACGTCAGTATAACTATAAGGTCTACCAATACTTCCGTTCTGACCATTAAATTCCCGCGTAACACTTGCGGGATAGCTTAATACAGCACCCGCAGTCACAGCACCGTGGCGTTGCATATAGTTGGAAGGAAGGAGTCGTAATTTACGCGCCTCAGTGCGCGCGCATGAAGGCAGCGCATTCATGGGGAGGCCGACAGTGAAGGAAGACTAGCAAGTCTCAGCCGCTCAACCGAGGCATGCATGGTTGTTGTCGTGCATGCTTGTATCTACGTCACGTCGGGGTTTTTCTTGATGTTTTGGCAGCTTCCACGAGACCATTCGTTCTAATACCGTAAGATGAGAGATGCTGGTCTAAAGAATGTGCAGCCAGCTTCAAGTACTTCCGCTTTACGTGTTCATCTTAAGTTCGACCTAAACAACATTTGTTCTGACAGCCAGCCCACCTGGAACCAGTAGGTGGGCTTTTCACTATAATATATATCCGCATAGGCTGTGTAGCAACACCTTCAAATGGCCTTTGAAGACAGGCGCCTCGCGGCAAGTAATCAGAATTACGTTTAAATGTTGTGTTGACTTGATAGTATCTCAAAACGAGGGTCGTTTCGTTCATGATGTTGGTAATTAAACTTTATTTTGGTTCAAATAGGACACAAGGGAGACCCCGCGTTACCCGGCTAGTCCCACTAGCTACGATTTTTATTTTTTTTGCGTGTGTGTGTGTGCTTCCCAAACAGTTACGGGAGGGCATCCGGCTGCAGCCAAAAGATGGCGCGGCATGTACAAAGTCCCGGGGATGTGCACCCCAAGGAGGTTAAAGTAACATTTAAACCTCCTTGATGCAACCCAACGTGGTCTTCCTAATCCTCCGTGATCGGCTCACCTATACCAAACAACGAAGTTACACGATGACGTCATCATGTGATGCCACATGATGTTCCGTTTTAGCAATGCCATGCCACGAGTGTTGGTGACCTGTGATGTCACGATGCTCATTGGGCGGCGTCCTAACATGATTTTTTTTTTTGGCTTCGCTCATGTCAACGCTGCGGACTCCGAAAGTCAGTTATCATGCTCGATGAGTCCTGTATAGATGACTCATCAAGCACTATAAGCACGAAAGAGAGCCTTATAAGGCTCTCTTTCATCATCATTTAAAGAAACCAGTCATCAAGCGTATTGTTACACAGAACAACATTTTTATTCCTTCGTACTTTCATCTTGGCAGCGGGAGCTGTGCGGTGAAGCCCCATCTCTCTGTGTTCCTAAACAAGCCGGTAACGAAAGACGCCGACAACTCAACATTCCGCTTCGTTCCGCTGACCTCTGCTGAACTAAGATAGTGCTTCAAAAAAAAAGTGCAATTATAAAACAGCGCTTTGAAAAAGTATTACAGCTAGAGAGATGGATCTGGTTAAGCAGTTTTCCGCAGCACAATGGAGAGAATGACTGAGCAAGATAGTAAGGTTTAAACAAAATAAAAAGCCAAAGAGCATAGCTTAAATCTAGAAAGAAACGAAGAAACAACACAACAGGCATATATTATATCCTATAATCATAATTTACATCTATGTACACATAGAACATAATACACACGCTACAAAGAGGATGACTGAAGCTCTAGGAAGACAGAGGTATCAATACTAGGTTCAAGAAATTCACGATTGTACGTGACATCGAACCACAACCAGTTAAATTTATAGCTCGATATAAGGGTCTTAGTAAGACAGCATAGCTAGAAGTGCAGTTCGCTAGACAAAAAGTTCTGAACGTGACGTCGGCAGTGATAGGCTATACCCACACGACGGACAAAGCACACAAATGCAAAACTATAGAAACAAACAGTTTGTTCTACGACCAAGATAAGAAATCTAGCCAAATCGGGCGCGTCACCGAATTTCGAGGAGGCTCACTGTATCGACAGTTTTGCAATATTGAACGAAGGCTTTGGAAAACATAAATGACCAGTCAAACGAGTCAGTTAACTATGCACAGCAACCTTAGTTATGGCTGTAATAAGTGGGCTTCAGTCTTATCTATGGGTGTGAAATGAGCACGAGGCTAACTAGACTGTCCAGTTAGGCCTGGCGTCGAAGCTTGGTCCGACTGAAAGTCCACCCTTTGACTTTTAGCGCCGCCTGGCGACCGTCGGTGTAGACTGCGCACGTTAAAAGATGGCGCGCAGCTCAAACACATTGCTGCGGCTGCAGCTTGTACAGGGGTCACAAGCTGCCTCCTCGTTTTTATTTAGAGGGGCGGGAACTGCAACGCTAACGATAACGACGTCATTGGTACAAGGTAGCATCCACCCTGCTCATGTCGTGCTCTTCCACCCCTCCACCCCCATTGACTCCGTGGAATGTCAAAGGGCTGACCTCATAGGTGGCTCCTTCAGGGATATCTCTGTAATATTAGCAGCCCCCCCCCCCCCCCGCATTCTGTTTGCAAGATCTCCTAGACTGGTCAATATAAAATGCCGGGGGGGGGGGGAGGTAGTGTTTCAACAAACTCGCTAAAAACTATATTCACACAGCTGCCTTGAGAACATCACTCGATATCTGGAGACGTCATAGATCTCGGATTTTGTAAGTACCATCCGCCGAAAATAGCTACAATAAAATGGACACAATGGTCGGAACTTTCACGCACCCGTGGCTGTTGCACGGCATGAACAGCGCCGCTTGTAAGAACAGTGTGACGTTGCTCCAGGGCAAAGCAATGTGCAAACACGGCATTTGCATGTCACTCGTACAGTATTCGATCTTGAGACGTGGCTTTAGAAGCGCTGAAAACGAGACATAAAAGCACAATGGTAAAGCACTTCCTTAAGTGTTTCTCGCCAAGCAAAGGCAATGGAAACCACAGAGTCCGTCGAGAGGTACGTGCCGTCATGGTTGGCTCCTGTCCGATGGCCACGTCACATGTCTACATATATGACTTAGTCATGATGCACGAAAAGGCTGACTGCAGTCTCGTGTGACGCTGTCTTGTAGAGACAGTCATACCATGATGATATGCGTGTCTGGATCACCCTGTGTCAAACAGGAAAGAAAAAAATAGATATTCAATTACGAATGAAAGGTTAATAACTGTAAAACTCACTAATCGATGTATTATGACCCTATTTTCCCTCCAATTGAACATAGAGCGCTTTGAAGTAATGTCGTGTGAGTATGATGCCTCCACAGGCCGTATTTCGTAGGTGGCACATCAAAGGGTTCATGTCATCAAATCAGCTCCAACATCGGCCACTTGATACGCTTACTTAATCACCAGTTCCATGTAGGACTTCGTACTCAAGGCAAATTTGCATGTGTAGTTTTGATGCTACAAATTATCATGCCTAGGGTAGGCCCTGGACGTAAAACAAAATCATTAGAAGGCTATTTAAGGTTATCAAGTCACAGAAACCTTGAATTCGAGGCACACGCACGAAAAAAAAATGAAGTAAGAGAGGCTCGAGAATGCTTAGACCTGAAGCGTAGAAGGCGATAGCGTAATCGGGGCCAGTTGGGCCACCTGTTGCAATGACATCGCATAGTACACAGGCCTCCAGCATTTAGCCCCTATCAGAATGCGCGAGACGCCGTGGGTATCGAACCCGCTACCACTCTACTCCCATCGTATGTTGCACTGTACGAAAAATACTATTCGTCAGTTACAAAAGTGCACAAAGCGTGATGGACGTCTTATAAAAAGGTGTTTCGGAAACTTCATGAAAAACGTGTGAGATATGTGTCTATAATTCATATTTAAGAAGTAGGATTGCTTGATGTGTTACATCTCGTTGGTTGTTTAGAATGACAAGTCGCGGATCTGAAAGACTATTGCTTCGTTACTTTCGTTACTGTGACGACCGCATTGAATTGCCGGAGCCGGAAGTACGTCATCGGAGTCATAATTTAGTATCGAAACTTACGAATCCCCTTCTCCGGTTGCGCCTCGAGCGTCCGGCGGGCGGCGCCTCCGTGATGACCGTGGTCAGGTACTTCTGGCCGTCGCTGGTCTGCTGCACGCTGCGGGTTACGTTCTTCACTGCGGGGCTGGGACGGACTACCACCGACGACTGGTCTGCATGTCAGGTGTCGATTTTATTGATTAATTGGCTTGTACTTGTATTTCCTGATATCATACGTTTACATTGACTGACTGATGATCGATTGAGTGATTGATTGATTGAATGAATGAATGATCGGTTGATTGACTGAATGATTTACTGATTGATCGATCGATCGATTGATGTCTCACTGACTGAGTGGCTTACTTATTTATTTATTTATTTATTTATTTATTTATTTATTTATTTATTTATTTATTGCTACTGTAAGTCCCATACGTGCATAAACAAGGGCCAGCTGTCACTTTTCCATTTTAACAACCAGATGAACTTGGACTGTGGTGCCTGAAAGGGTCAATACTTTGCGCCATGTCACCAAGCACAACTTCGCCAATTTCAACAGTTAAGTGCATTTCATAATAAAACTTGACAGCACATGCCATAATCATTGAGCGAGCAAATGATTCCATTTCATGTCACCTAGTTCATATTACAAGGAGCTGCTGCAGTGCCACACACGATCTGACAAGGTGCAGCGGAATATGTGAGCATCATGCTACAGAACATGTGGATTCGCGTTCGCTAAACCATGTCCTAACGACTGAGAATAAGCCTGCAACGTTTCCCAGTGTTTGCTGTCCTTGAGTGAATGATCGTGCTCATTTCTGTCTTTTGTGTGTCTTCGTGCTCGTATGAGTTTCTTAAGCGACTGCACGTGCATCTGTGTTCCATATTGATGCCGATTACCGACTAATAAGCTCGGCCGATTACCGCTCACCGTAGATCTCCTCGATGATCTCCCTCACGCCGCCAACCTTGCCACTGGTGCCGCGCAGGATCTTGGTGGTGACCTTTTTCCTCAGCGTCTTGGAAGGCTGGCTGCTGTCCACCTTGGTGACAAACTCCACCTCCTTGGCCGAGCTGCGCAGCGTGTCTCGGAGGAACGACTCAATCCGGTCGTCCGTCTGCACGCCCATGGCTCGACCTCCGAAGCCGCTCTCGCCTCGCCTCTGGAACGTCGGAAGCACACCGTTCGGAGTCTGCGTGGCCTGAGAAGTCGTGGGTCGCTTCGTGGGAGATCTCATCCTCGCGCCCAGGTTGGAGTCGCTCATAGACTTGGTCGCCTTGAACGGTCCCAGAGGTCGGCGGACGTCACCGTTGCAATATTCCTTCGTGGTGGCGGCGAAAGTTTGAGCCGCGGTTCTTGCGTGGGCTCCCCTGAGCGTTCCGTCTGGACCTTCACGCAGACGGACGAATAAGTAAGCACCCATTTCATAATGAGGCTGCTTTTATTTTTTATTTTGTTATGATAGCATTCCCTCGTCTTACGCACATTTTGCAACACGGTTCTGAAACCTCGTTTTAGTTGAAGCTCGTTAAGTCAGAAGGTGACAAGTGCTCCCCTTTCTTTTCTTTTCCTTGGAAAAGGAAGTTAAAAGGCCGCTTTCTTACTTATTTCTTATAGAAAGTTATACTTAGAATAATTTTTAAGGTGCACATCAGCTACATGAAAACACTGCGACAGGAATGCAATTGACTTTGTTGATGTAGTAAAGGAAAATATTCCGGTTACAGGACGTGAAACTTCAGTGAGACGCCTTTAGTGCTCAGTGATACATGGCGCGCAAATTAGAAACAATATTTACCATCAAGAGATTGCGAAACAAAATTAGTGAATGGTTCTCCACATACCGCGTGAAATCAGCTACTTTGTTCTCTGAGGTCACCACGTTCGGGCATCCTTGTAGGACATGAATGAAGCTTTTAGCGACAAGACAATGAAATTGTAGAGGTAGGAGGTTCGAGATTACTAACTTACAACAGCTTTTAAAAGCTTATGTGAGTCAGAACTCATGCGTTCATGTCTCCTCTGTGTCCCGATCTGGTACAGCAAAAGCTTTATTCTTTTTGTGCTAGAAACAGTATGTGATCACTTTATCCCTTCTCAGCGCATGTTATCATTGAGCAGCGAACTATATGCCACTTACATTGTAGCACCATAGAAAACAAATGCTTACCTGTTGTAACTGTAGAGCTTGAAGGACTGATGCATGACGGCCTCTGGAACTTGGAGGTGATGGACTCGCCTTTAGAGCTGGACAAGACAGTCACCCCGTTCGGGACTTTCTTCTTGAGTGGTTCGATGTGGAATCCCCTGTCCACAGCGTCAAAGGACGTCTCCAGAGGTGGACTGCGAGGTGGACTGCGGGGTGGACTGTGTGGCGGACTACGAGAAGAACTACAAGGAGGACTGCGGTGGCCGTTCAGCAATGGTCCTTTCACCGGTGAAAGCGGAGGCGTCACGGCTCGTGGTGGCGTGGAGGATTCCTGTGGTGATGAAACACGAGGTGGCGAAGCCGGCTTCGGTGTTGTGTGCTCACCATTAACCTGCTTCGAAAGAAGTGGTGACTTCACCTCCCTCGACTGAGCCATCTCCTTCTGTTCAGTACGGGGCAGGGAATGCTTCCTCGTCGACGAGTACATGGTGACTTTCTCGTCACTCACCACTTCGCTCTTTTCTTCGGCCCGAGAGGCGGACCTCGACTCGACCGTTGACGAAAATCCGAGCTCTTCCATTACGTCATCGTCGTCGGCAAAAGGGATCGGGGAGTCGGAGAGACCCGACAAGACATCCTCTTTTTCGGAGCGACCGCAGATGGACTTGAGGGATGTCTCATCGATGGCACGCCTCGACACTGTCGTAGATTCCAACGTCTCCATGATGGTCATCGTCTCGACCATTGTGATTTTGGACACTCCGCCTCCAGAGGCGGGAGTCACGGTTCGCGACCGACTTTCATCCGGAGGCTTCCTGTCCTGCTCCAGTTTCTTCTCGACTTCGTCGAGGAGGCTCTTAGTGTCGCCGACATTCGTCGTTCCGGAAGCCGTTGGTGCAGGGCTCGGAGTAGGACCGAAGTGGCCAGTCTGTCGAGGTTGACTTGGACTCCATGGGCACTTTCTTGGCAAAGCGGTCGTCGTCGCGAGCCACGAGTACGGCGGGAGTCGCTGGAAATACTCCGGTCGCCGACTGTGGAGGCAGCGGTAAGGGTCGATCGGATGTAGATGTAGGGGTGGTGCCCGCGTATATGGGCATCGCGTACAGAGGCCCTGACTGAAGTTGAACCGAACGGTCGTCTAGAAGAAGCACCTGGCTTCCAGTGGGAGTGACGAAGGGGCGAGTGTAGGTTGCGAACGGCGTCATCGCGTGCAGCATTGAAGCTGGGCTGAAAGGCCTGAACTGGCGATGTGACTTGGGCACCAGTAATCCGCGAGGTGTGTCTGAGTCTCAGCTGTCTCGCTGACAGACAGGGGCAACAAGGACGCCAGCTCCGGGCTTCTGCACCTGCTGTTTGAACCAAACTTCCTTGGGTTTTGACCAGAAGTCGCTCGGAGGCATGGGAGGCGGCGGCGGAATGGAAGAACCACCGCCGCTCACTTCGGTGCTAGTCGGCTGTTCGGTGGACCTCTGAGCAGCGATGGGCGGCGTCTTCCTAAGTGCTTCGGTTGGGCTACGGGGATGAGGACGTGGTGTGGCACTGTCGATAACGTTAGCCTCATTCAGAATATCCTCTGCAGGGGGAAGAAAAAGTGAACGAATTATGCAAGCACGCAATTTCGAAGAAGCGCTGTCACGAAGAAAACAGGGTAGCTCTCGCGGGACTTTCTGGGGTAAAAAACAGTGCTGTCACACGACACACGAGGTGAGAGAGTGCAAGGCAGAAGCGGAGGGCTTGTGCTGGTCCTGTGTGGGCATGTAATATTTCTGTATTGCCTACGAATGAAGCATTAAAGTAAATTAAAAAACGTTGGCGTTGGCTGATACTCATATATACCGCTCTAAAATTTTCTTGAGCTGTTGGCAAAAACAATGGCCATGCCGTATAAAAAAATTGACGTATAGATAGTATTTCGTTGCTCTGATGATAGGACTCCCATCCCACCTTTCTGCCTCCTTTCCAACTCACCAAAAGTAAGAAAAGAGCACATATTCTAATGTTATTCGTCTTTTCAAATGGCGCATTCTTAACCAGAATGGATGATACGATTATAGATGCCGACTTCATTTGCTTTATTAGCAAATTGACTCGCTTTTTCTAAGCTGTTATTTCCCCGCGCCAGCGCAGGGTAGCGCATTGAATAACATCCCCTGCCTCCAACTTGTCTGTCTCTCTCCGACTGCATTCAGAGGTGGCGCTTCACAGCATTGCAGGTCACGGTTCAGGCATTGATGAGTATAGCATTCTCTTATGTTTTTTTTTTCAAACTGTGCTATTTTTTCAGTGGCCGCTTCAGCCAAGCCGCTTGCTGAAAATCGAGAAGCAATGCACAACTTTGTCCGCTAAGTTACCATATCTCACTGTTGGCTGATCCAAAGATAACCCAATGATTCGCGATTAGACCAGGATGGTTGCAGTGCAACTTTCTTTACATCAATGATATTTGAAACGACAGCTACTTTTGTTGCGTGATTAACATGCTTTAGAACTTTAACCTATTCTGTATGCTTGCTTCGCAAGTTTCACAACGCGCATCGGCGGTACTGTGTCCTGTTGTGCACCGGGACAACAAGCTCGCAGAAACAGAAGAGGAAGCGTCAACACCGACACTGGAACGCCCGAGAGCGTGGCAGCGAAGGTGGTCTGGCAAGCGCCGACTGGTAACACACACACGAATACTGCAGGGCGCTGGGGATTACCTCTGAGGACCTCCATGGTGTAGCGTTTCTGAAGCACGTGCTTCAGCTCCTGCATGAGCGCCTGCTTGGACGAGTGCATGGCGTGAATGGCCGCAATACTCGGAGTGGCAACCGCGGCGGTAGGAGCTCGGTTCGCGCCGTCAACTGTCTGCAAGCTTTTACCGGTCTCGCCACGCTCCGCCGCTTCGACCGGCGCGGGCGACTTCGACGCGTCTTCTTCCTCCACGTCTTCGACTGGTCGGGCAACCCTGAGGGGAACGTTGACGTAAATCTCCGCGTCACCTCGCTCGTCCTGTTGCTGTGAAGGTGCAGTCAGGGCGTCCGCAGCCGACTCGCTCGCTGGCAGCAGCGCCGGGAACGGAGTGGTGCACGACTCCTCGGCCTCGCTGAAGATTTCGTCCAGCAGAGCGCTCAGGTTGTCGGGCCAGCCGACCGAGTCTTCTCGGCGGCTGCTCGGTACCCGCGGGCCGCCGTACTCGGAGACGTTGGCCGCGCCGCCGGAGTTGAGGCTTTCCAGCAACACCGCACATGGAAGGTCATCTGTACGCCGGAGTGGGGTTTTTTCCGTTTTGTTCCATTCTTAGCGCATTCTTCATGCTGCAACACAGATCTGACTTTTCTTTCTCCTTGAATCACCTGTTCTGCACATATTAAGCCCTATTCAGTGCCCTCCTCATCATGTCTAGGCGAGTGAGCTGATATGTTCTCAAAACGCCAACAGTCGTGTACTACATACTATCCAAACGCTTAGGGTCCGCGACCGCCTAAATCTACCGACGCATCTGCAGTGTTCATTTGTGCCACCTCATTACTTCCGCTCACTTCTAACACGTCAACCGCTTTTGCGTGTTTTTGAAGGGACCCTGCCACACTTTTTCAGCATGGTCAGCAAACGCTGCCGCTCAGTAGTCGAGGCTCTTAAAAATATGCGGATCAAACATTAGAGTGCATCACGCAGCATGGAATTTACAATCAATTCTCAATTTCAGATGCATTCGCTCTCTGTCTACTCTTTAAATGGTGTCATATACTTAAATGACCCCGCCTTACACCCAAATTGATGGCCATTGGCTAATTTGAGCATCGTGAAGCTACGCTGTTACGCGGCCACTTCCGTAGGCCACCAGGTGTCCACGCGTGATCGCCATCAAGTTGAACGTAAGCCACCCTATCGAAGAAAAACAAACCAAAAGCGCTCAAGGTACTGGCGTGCCCGAGACGTAACTTATTTCGTTTGTGCCATCCCTTCCAGCTTAGGATGCTTTGATGCACATTTTCTCTGGTTCAGGGTGAGGACATCAGTGGGCTTATATTGCGACGTAACTGCCATGTTCAAGCTCACGGCGCCTTGCCGGCGTCTCACCGCCCTGTAGATGGCGGCTCCGCTGAGAAGCATGAGACGCGGGGCGAAAAATGGCATCGCGGCAGCATTCTCCTTTGAAAGAATGGTAGCACCCTAAAGAGGGAGGGGGAGGGGCGGCACATCGATGCACACTATCGCAGCTTAGCTTCCAGATAACTCCTCAGGACGAGAAAAGAGCGAAAAAAATCACAGCGTGTGAAAAAGCTCTATGACTCCACTCGTACTTGATGAATTATGAAAAATATTTGCGCTGGTTGATTTCCGAGCCAATGGTTCCCTCTAACGAAGCCAATTGATGGTTCCTTGGAAAAACGTTGCAGGGCCCATGTAAAGCATGCGGCAAATCCCTATACCTTCGCTCGTACTTGACAGATTCTAAATATTTTCGAGACAGTGAATTCGTGAACAATAAACTACTCCGATGAAATCATTCCATAATTACTTGGATAAGTGTTGCAGGGGCCCTCCAATGTAATTAACGCTGCTATGCGGACGTTCATTTGCCTCACTTGCTGTGATTGAAACCCGAAAATACTGGCAAGTTGGCTTGAACTTACTGACAGAGAAAGCAATTTTTTTTCTCATAAACCAAGCATTTGTCTCAACGTAGCAAAAATACTTAGCATCGAGCGGACCTAAGCTAACACAGCTATCTGATAAAAGTCAAGGGCAGGTTCATCGCGGTTTTCTGGTTGAACTTGTGTTGACAACCTGTATGTCTACGTCTACCACTCGTTGACCTAAGCCAAGCGAACCAGTCAATTTTCGTTTTCTTTTTTTTTTTGACGCGGGCGTTTCTTTGTGCTTTCTTGTGTATACGGCTTTCAGTCTCTCTTAGTGACAAGTAAAATATGCTCCACTCACCACCTCTATTAGTCTCGTGATTAGGCGCACGTTTCTCGGATCTATCGATTCATCAACTTGCTTTTTTTGTTGTTACAGGTAAGTTATTCACCCGTTTATTTCCTCATGTTTCTTCCTCGCGTTTTTTTTCGTCTTCTATTATAATCTAGATATCGATGTTATTTTACTGAATTTCTCGAATTTTGTCATATGCTATCGAGATCGTATAACTCATTCTACAGATTTTAGTTTGTTATATCTAAACAAGGGTTTTGCCATTGCTTGTGGTCCTATTTTAGTCTCGCTGGATGCTGTTGGCGAATCTACAGCGCGAGCAAGAAAAAAGTTGTGGGCATGTGTTGCGGCTTTGCCATGCCTTACAGGGGCCCGTACCAAACAAAATGGATTTCCTGCTACCTGATTAAGGCGTTGTCATCACCTACTTGCAACAGGCCTCAGACCTGGCCGACCACCCGATCTTGGCGACTGCATTCTTGAATCTCGCCGCCACTCATACTTGAATTTATACAGGAAGCAAATTAGCATGTGTAGTTTTTAATAAAAGTTATTATGCCGAAGGGCAGACTCTGCAAAAAAAGAAAAAAAACTACAGCTCGACTTCGTAAGCACAAGTTCCTATGTAGTGAGGACTAAAGCTTGTATGAGCTACAGGTATCCGCCTCTCACTCGATGTCAACATGTGCCTATTTGTTAGAAACAAATACATGAGCCTGTTCTCTGCTTTCCTTCTTCAAAGCCCACCATTTCACATGACAAGACGGTGAAATGGCTGTGAACTTCACTTAATACGTCATAAAGAAAACGATTTGATCATCCTGCTCTACAATTAGAACAACAAACTAAAATGAAGCTCCCACCCCAATGCCTGTGCCGATCCTTTTAGAGGAATGTTCGGTACTGGCTGCTCAAATTTTGTAGTGTCAAGAAGAATCTCTTAACTAGGTTTTCTTGATTGATGACAACTGGCGTAGCTCTGACTTCAATCTGATGACCTAAAGGGACACTAAAATGAAATAAGAGTTTACGTGAAGATGAAATCTCAATGTATGACAACCTCTAAAACGACAATATTATAAACAGGAGTGTCGTACTTGTCAATTATTTAAACTAAATGCACGTGAACACATGCACTACGATAGGATATTTTCAAAATGATCCCAATGACGTCATACGAACCGCCTACAATTATTCACTAGTAATCGAAACTAGCTGCATTAAATAAAGAACCTTCCGTGCATCAAGAAACTTAATAAAATGCTGCTTGTTTGTTTCTGTTTGATTCATGAACTAAAGAGCCGCCGGACATAAATATGGGGAATATGGCGCGAGAGGAAGAAAAATTCAATTTTCCCCTGGTTAAACTGGACGGGATCATGCCATCTAGCGGGGTCTAGTTGAACCAGAAACACGTCTGCCATCTTGGAGCCTATGGCGGCCGTTGTTTCTGCTGTGGCTCCCGCTGCTTTTGTTCGGCCGCTACTAGTGTCGGCGGCCGCGCAGTAAAGCCGGGCGGTGTTTTGCACGGCAACAGTAACGTGAGACGGTCCAGCGGGTAATTTGAAGAGCGCTAACCCGATGAGAACCACCTGAAACTTTATTTTATTTGAAAATAAGCACTTGCTTAACACAAAAGCAACACTATGAGGTTTTTGGACTGCTATTTGAACAATCAACGTCCACTTAATAGTTGCCTTTAGTGTCCCTTTAACTCTGTCCGTGCATACAACTATACGTAGGAACTTTGGATACATATTTACTTCTAATGCATCGTTTTTGACGATAAGTTAGCTGAACATTTTCGGTTTATCAATACGAACTAAACAAAAAGCTACCACTTGTGCAAATAACTGAGCTACCCATAAAAAAAGAAAGAAAGAAAGAGCTTAGGTTCCACAGCTGAGTTTAGAGATGGCACTGAAAAAACGAGGTTGTCAGCGGAAATTAAACCGCCCTTGCTGCAAGCTCTGCTCAAGCTCTGCTCAAGCTACTAATATTCTTGACGCTGACGCATAGAGCTTTGCAACATGAGCCAGTAAATTATAAACTTGTCTCGAGAAAACCTAACTGATACACCTCACCTTAAGTCTCGACTGAAATGAAAATTGTCAAGCTGAGCTCATTGTGCTATAAGAAACAAAGTTGTTAGGATACGTCACCACCATTTCATCTGAAATATTTCCATACAGAACAATATGACCATTACATCCATGCTTCACTTATAGGAACATGCTTCCGGAACAATGTGACGATCGTGAAAGGCTATTCATCCAGAAAAACGGAGGCAGTCAGAGTGCCGGTAATCCACGATGTCAGTATCCAGATTGTACGGAAAATTATGTCAAACAGCACGAAAACGAGCAGTACAGAAAGAATACAGCCAGCCATCACCATGACGTCTTCAATGGTCAGAGAACAGCCCACATGAGCACAGAAAGTGACAACACAGAGAACTCTTCTCTCCAAATGGAGCCAGTAAGTACCCAGACACATCCGCATTCCGCATTCCCTCACCTCGTGACCGAGTCGTGTGAGAAAAAATAAATTTGTTCGAGACTAACATACACAGAGAAAGAAAGAGTAACAAGTTCGCAACCACACCACAAGTTTCAGGCAGGTCACGGAGAACAAACAGCGCGTTTTGTTTTGTTTTTTTTTTCGCCCTGCGAAAGAAAGAGACCACCTCAGTGAGAGTCGAGTCGAGTGTGTTAGAACTCCCAAGGAAAAGGACGACAGGCCGTTAAGAAGTGAGTGGGTTGTTCGTGCGATTGAAGGAGGCACCTTCGGGAGATGAACTGCCGCGGTGGCCATTAAACACTCCGCAGTCTTGAGGGTCAAAGGTCTCGTAGACGTCGTCGTCGTCATCGTGGTTGAGTGGGCCCTGTTGGGCCTCTTCTTCGAGGCTGTCGATGGCGAACTGGTCCGGCGTGACACTGACAGAGTCGGTCGGCGATTTGGCCGCGTAGTCGTCACCTACATCACACTGAGAACAGGGTGCCCCGGGACTAGAGCCTGTTTAAAAAGGTAGAATAGATGAACCATGGGCGAATAAAGCGGGGAGGGCGAATAAAGCAGGGCACGAGGGTACATTTATGTCTACTGCGCAGGGTGAGGCATCGGTCCTGTATGGGACTTTGATAATAAAAGCGTTCTACGTGCACTTTCGGCGCAGGACCATGTTTAAACAGGCAGTTACGGTGATTGAGCTGTCCGTACTCAAAGAAGCCTGTTATTCTAGATTTCATTTTGAGATAATGTGCCAGCCGGTTTTGGCGATGGACATCAGCCATGACAGCAAGCCAAATAGAAAAAAAGCACTTACTATAGACCTAAACTTGAATACGTATCTGCCGTATTTTACCCCTACCAAAGTAATGACACTAAAATCCTGGAGCCTGTCCAGAATCGTGCAGCCTGATTAATTGCTACAGATTACTCCCATTACTCCAGCATCCTCAACCTAAAAAACCAATTAAAGCCCTGCTCTCGCTTTTCGTCGTCGTCATATTGCACGTCTCTGTTTTTTTTACATTTTTTTCATTGAGCCACTACGTGACAACCAGCACATCTAACCAGTCCATCGAGGTCATCGCACAAGTCATCCAAACACTGTGATTATGCCACGTGCTCACACCACATAATTTCAGCATTCATTCTTCTTGCGCACCACCCGAGACCGTAATGACCTTCCAGAAGACATGGCAGTCATCCACGCTTCTGCGCGCTTCAACAATGCCATCCAAGAAGCTGACTCAGCTGTATCTTAACCACTACTTCTGATACTGCCTTTTTTATGTCACCCACCCCTCATGTAAAGTTCCATTCGGAACCTTTGAGGAGAGACAATAAATAAGTAGATAAAGCTTTGCGAATACCACCGTCTTTTGACTTCAAACGTAAACCTGTACCGCTGGCCCAGTGCCAGTGCTTAGTTATGCCAATATCTCTTTTCTAAGCATCGTTAAGACGTAGACATTCTCAGGCGGTCAAGACGTTGATGATGGCCCCTTAAGACAATCTCTGTGCTTTCTGAAGAGGTCCTTATAGAGAGGAGGCCACATGTAATACTAACTATAGTACAGAGTCTTGACCATAGTAAATTCTTAACGCTATCAGGTATCTATCTCTGAAGAGCAGTCCTTACAGCTTTCCCGAGACAACCTACACCCTAATATTTGCGACATGAAACTGAAGCTTTCATACAAAAGTAATAGTTGACCCTTTAAAGCGCTGGTGAGTAAACTGCCTCAGCAGGCAGATATGAATGTGCTGATTTTTGCTATTCTACGCTTGAATGCTCAACTAGAGCAGGTGAGGGACCACAGACACTACACAGTTAAAGCGACTGAGTGAGCGCAGTTCTGTCCGTGCCTGAAGGTGTCATTGACTTAGGCGAGTGCTGGGCAGCACCAAGTCATGTACCTGTATGTTCTTTGTAAACAACTTAAATGTATGGACACTCGCATTAGTGCAACTTGCACATGTTCATAAAGTTAACGACAGAAGATGCTAAAAGACTGCCGGTGATTTTTCAATGCGTGCTATACCTGCTACCCTTTGAGAACAAATTAGAGGGTAGATGAAACGTAACTGAGCCAATTTTGTGGCTCCCTAAAGGCAGACAGAAGATTCCTTTGAACCTGGATTCAAAACAGCTCTTCTGCCGTTGAGCCAAGTTATGGCAATGCTATGCGGCGCGCTAAAGTGCTACGTGCAAGTATGGTCATATGACATGGTTATATGGTATCATATGATATGGCAGTTCGACATGGCCAGTGAGTAGACTAATTTTTCAGCAGTCAAAGCTATAAGTGACAGAAAAGGTCGAGCAAAAATCACAAAAAAACGTCAACATTTTTTTCGTCGCATGAATGAAACTCCTGGAGCCGTTGAAATTTATGCGGTGGCGTGCACAGGAGCCTGTTTGCATCCCGATCCAAGGCCTGGTAAACATGAGAAGTTATTAGCATTAATTTCAGCTCAGCTGGCCTGCTCAACCTCAGAAGTTTTTCTAATTTAGATGATGAGATGAGTACGTCATACTGACCGTAAGACGCTGGTTGTCCTGCACAAAGATGAAAGTTCGAAGTGCAGAACAAGATGTCTGACAAAACGACTTTCCCACATACACACTGCTGTGAAAAAAGGGCAGCGCTAGAAAGAGTGCAAATGACGAAATGAAGACACGACATGGGCTGCACTCATAACAATCGTGAGCACACAGTCTATGTGCTCTCGCCATTTCCTCCTTTGTATTCGTTTTAGCGCTGCCTCCTTTTTACAACAATATGAACATGAGCACACTCACCCACCTAACTGTTACTCAGCAGTACACTTTTCATATAAGTTGTGCTTCACGTAATAGAAGGCCTGGTAAGAACTAAGAAGCTTATTTACAGAGACTTCTTATGAGGAGTAACCTCAACAGGGTTTTTTAATTTCTAAACACAAGGAGGTGCAGTCGTGGTCAAATTCTTTAGGAATCCTCTCTAAGATAAGGTATTGTTTTTCTTGTTAGCGTGGATTACTCACCTGAACTCCTCGAGAGCCTGATAGAGGCGTCCTCCTGTTTCTTTTTTCGAATCTCCTTCAGCCAGTCAGGCACTACTTCGGTGGCCGAAGTCGGCTGGTGAAGACATTCGCTGGACAAGTTTGTCACCCGCTTGCCACCGGTCTGGGACAGAGATTTGTCTGCGAGAACGCGAGACAACTTCATTGGAAAATCACCTCATCGCCGATGACGCTCACTACTGCACTGAAAACAACAACAAAAAGTTTGGCAGATACCACGCACCACGGGAATAAATATTATTCGAAGCATTCGGAGGGAAGCTAGGTGAAAGTGGTGTAATTTATTTTTGTTGAGTGAATTGACGCGTTGTATACCGTGACACCAAACTGTCTCTTTACTCTTGAATGCTTCTTCCATTCTCTCTTTCCATCAACCCATGATGGATACTAATATTGTGTTACACTTGAAATACTTCTCTAATAACGAATGTATCCCTCCGGGACCATCTTTCCACCATTGCCTTACTTGCGCGATAGCTATCCAAGACCAATGTATTTGTATGGCCCCTTCTCGTGAAGGCATAATCACTCGTTTCTTTCGCAGCGCTCACGCCTGAACCACAAGCAATTTTTTTTCGTTAGGTGGGAAGCAGGGAGAGAAATACCTGTAGAAAGCCTTGACTATGCTTCAGGGAAACACCTATTCTTCATTAATTACTTTCGGTGAAAATTGCAGTATACAATTTGGATGACTTTCCTAATAATATTTCATATTCTTTTCATTTTCAAATGAAGATTAATATTAACGACGTATTTTTATACTAACAATTTGGGGGGGGGGGGGTGCTTGGCCATTTTCCTGTGCTTTAGTCGCGGGCTTGACTCATGGCGTATATATTCGCTCAGTCAGCACGGAGGGACGGTATCAGTCGGTACTGCATAATGCCGCTAGCAGTTAATCCGGCACCCCTCGCTCACCTAAGCGAGCCCAGTCTATGCCGCTCCTCTTCTTGCGCTCGGCCTCCAGGATCCAGGATGGTGTAACGGCCGAGTCAGTTGTGTCCCACGGCGACGCCCGACCCGTCGACATGACTTCACGACTACGCATCTGGACGCTCGAGCTCCTTCGTAGCGGAGGACCACCCCTGATGGCACCTCGTGAAACTGCACGCAAGCGATTGCACGACTTTAGACAGTTGTAAAGAAAAAAAAACAACAGTTTTATTATATACAAAATGCGCCCTCCAAGTTGGAGTCGGCGGCTTGCACTGACGTACTGAAGCAGCCATGTTGAAGCACTAACACGGAGTCACTGGGGCGCGAAGATTCTGTTGGCACATTAACGTGGTCAGTACATATATCATGAATATGACGATCTCTGGTGTTTAACGTCCCAAAACCACGATATGTTTATGATAGACGCCGTAGTGGGGAGGCTCTAAAAATTCCGACCAACTGGGGAGCTTTGACATGTACCTAAACATGGACCTCGATACATAACAGGATGCTGCATAGCATGTTCAGAAACAAATTACACCCAAGCTGCGTCGTTACTACTTAGGCTTCATTAAATTTGATTATGCTGCCTTCACGTCATTATATGAGCCTATAGAAGAACCAGTACGTCAAGAACAGGTGTCGATAGGACAACGTGCTCAAGTGATGGTAGCCCCACCGCGGTGACACTGGTGACAGTTCGGCGGCTGCCTTTTCGATGGAGGTGAAAATGCTATAGGCCCGTGCACTCAGATTTGGGTGAACGTTAAAGAACCTCAGGCGGTCGAAATTTTTAAAGCCCTCCACTACGGAGTTTCTCATAAACATACGGTGGTTTTGGGACGTTAAACCCCACATATCGATCAATCGAGAGATAGATTGCATTATTTCCGCTCCGGAAATATTACTCAAGCTCAATACGTTTGTTACAAGCTTATCCATCGTTGTTCTGTGAAACAATTGGCCCGGGATCTGCATGTTACATTGCAAATGCCGTCGAAAGACGATAGTCTTGCATCTGGAGAGAGTGAATAAAACATTTATCTGATGTTCTGCGCAAGAAAATCGGTGAATGGTATTCTGGAGGCGCTGCGTTGGAGTGCCTCGAGCGTGCAGCGGAGGCGAACAAGCGCATCAAGGCACGTTAGACACGAGCGCCATCTGACGGTTATCTTCGAAAACGAAGGAAGGCGTACGCGCCTGCGGAGAAAGATGTGTGCCATTCTCGCAGGCGATAAGGTGTAGAACGCAAAGCGATGGGGCAGGTGCCACCAAAGTGTCGTTTTAGCAAAGCATTGGTAACACTTGCCTTTTCGAGCACCGCGTTGCACTGTCAGCGCAGCGTGCTTAACCCTACGGTCCTTAGAATTACTTGTGTGTGCCTTCTCTACATTAAAGGCACACATTGTTATGCCTGCGAGTCCACAGCGAACGTCCGTGCCTCTGAAAAAGGCAATCTGTGTCAAGGCAAGCCCGCGAGCCCGCCTGACACGAACAACTCAACGGCGTCAACACGCGGCGGCGCCTTTCTGGCGCCCACGTGCAGTGAGTCATCTCAGCCGCGAGCCCGTCGAGTAAACAACCGGCGTCTTCCTGTCTGGCAGCTGACGCAATGCCTTGCGACGTCACTCGTCCTTGGGTGCAGCCACCTGCAGCGCAGCCTCTCCAGATTCGATGAGAAAGAATGACGCGGCCCAGCGGCGACCCCCATTGGAGGAGTCTGGGCTCACGACCAGCGGCGCTTCTGGTTGGACATTTGGGTTGGACCCGGTGCATATAAAAGAAGCCCTGCGGCGCGTCGAGAGGAGACCCCTTTGACAGGAGACCCATTTGAGAGTAGAGCTATGTGTTAGAAAGAAGAGCTCGGCTCTTCGCGTCTCTGTCGGCCCCAGTGCCGAATTTGTAACGCCTCTGTATATATGCTGTACATAAACCTTGTTTAACTCACCGTCGGTCTATCAGCTCTGCGCAGAAGCAGTCGCGAGCTGAGAAACCTACGCTACCAAACGGCTGGTGACCTTCCCGGTGGAATTCGAAGCAGTGGCGCCTTCGGGAACGTGTTGGCGTCGCCGTCTTTCGAAACAGTGGTTGCAGCGGTGAGATTTCGAGGCGCCCTTCGTAACGTCGTCGGAGGCGCGCTTCGCAACAACATACAAAACATCGGCGTGTTGTTACGGTACCTCCGATATGCGCAATGATTGCTTTTTAATTGACCATCGCTCAAGTAAGAACGCTGAACCTTGAACAATATTGGCGGGCGCTGGGAATGGGGTCGGCCATTTAAGGTATCGTTAAGGGCGGACAAACAGACAAGCGTTCAGACAGACAGACAGACCAAAATGTTTTCGTCGAAGGTCCCCAAGGAAGACTATCATCTTTAAATCACAAAACACCTTTTACACTGCAAAACTGTCACGGTTTATTTGATTTATTTTGCTTGTGGGAAGAAATATGTGGGAAGACTGGTATGTGCATGAATGATCGGCAAGAGAGCACCCTAACGATTCTGAAATAGCACACTTAAATCAATCATCAATGATCAACGTTCTGTGTGCGCTGTTAACAAATGTAAGTTGCACCATCAACACACTTGCATACAGACACGTAGTGGGTGCATAGTTTCTCCAGACAATGATGAATAATGACATAGTGGGTACTCCCTACTTGGCAAAATAATAGTCATTCATGTTGCATCGGGTATCTTGCAACTGCACTTGAAGAAACCGCCCCATGAGAGTTAAGGGCGGGAAGTTAGCGAGGCCTGTCCTTCAAGTTTCGCTGTGACTGTCCTGTATACCTGGCATGATTGGCGTTTTTATCGCCACTACGAAGTTGTACATGATGTCCTCTAAAAAATGTTTCATGTTGTTATAGATCTGCGCCTTTCACACGTGAGTGCAGTTTGTAGTCTGCTTCTGTCTTCCACCAACAATAAACGGGTATCAGTCAGCGTGGTTAACAATCTATTCATGTTGCGCTGCGCTTGTTTTGTTCTCAGGTTGCTAATTTGCTAATCCATCAGGTATCCGACAACAAAAGCAACTTCCAGAAAAATCGGACAGTCACTTACGAATTTGCGTAAGACTACTGGAGGGCGAAGGTATGTTGTTCTTCTAATTAGACGGTACTGACTCACCCCCCGATGACTCTGTGCATTCAACGTGTTTCAGCAATGTCTCCGAAATCGGAGGAATTAAAAGCATTTCGCGCATCACGTGGTCCTGTGCTGCATTCGAGATTGACCCACCTTTGTCCAAGCGACGATGTCATGTGATGGTGTCATGTGACGTCATAGTAGCCTCACGATCTTTACATATTTGTGACGGTTTGATTGCACCGTTTTATGGCGTCACCATGCGCGAGGATAATTCTTAGCAACACTCGTGTTCACACTGACGGTCAGTTTTCACGTTTGATGAGGAAATTAGGACCTAAACGTAAGACGCCACAGGGCCTGCTAATCTTACGCGTAAGGCGCTCTGCTCAACACTCACCGTGATCGGAAGGAAGGGCTCGGGTCGGACTCCCACGTGCTTGACCACCGGTGTCCTTCTTGGTCGCAGGTGCCGGAGCCTCGATGAGCTCGACTTTCTTCGGCGTCAGGTACTCCGCCACGCCCATCGATTCCGACGCAGTCTGGCGGCAGAAAGAAGATATAGTGAAAAGTTTCAGCATCAACGAAAGAAAACCGATGTGACTCAACCGTAGCAATAGATAATTTTTGTGTCCAAAACTACAACCGAACGTTCCCCGCGTAACCGAATTACTGAACCGCGAGGCAAAAAGGATACTTGAAGAATAAAACTAGTTGCGGAAATTCATACGCGGTTTAGTGCTGTAGAGGCCAAAAGTAACAGTATATTAAAAAAGACAATCGACAGAACTTAAAGTGGACAAAAAATCACTCTCTCAGTGGAATCCTATCGATGGAAAATTATTTCTTGTCGACATCAATACATGTCGATTCAAGTCAAACTCATTATACTACACTTAAAGAAATGCGAAATATTGCCCCCTTTGCTTTCCTTAGTTTAATTGTTTGTTGGTTTCATTAGTGTAGTCGACGACGCCCTGTAGCGGGCCTGTCAATTTCCCCTGGTGTCACTTTATAAGCCCCCGTATACTGCGCATAAAGAGAGGTACAGGAACTGATGTCCCGAAATGCTGGAAGAATCTACAATGCAATCGTAACTTCTACTCAAGCAGACCCAATTGTCAATTGTAGATGTCGCAAGAGCTTTGCAGGCATTTCCACGATTTCAGAACATTATGACGAGACCCTGTTCATGGATCTAGAGGTCCAATTTCTCTTTCTTTCAGACACAACCATGTAAATGCAGCAGGTACAGGAAAGAAGCAAATGAGGCGAGAGAAGAAAGGCCTGGATTGCAAACCACCATAGAATAACCAGCTTGGTTCTCTGCGCAGGGTAAAGCAATTGGAGAGTTTGAAAGAACGTTCTTTAGAGAAACGTTGGTTTGAAAGTTGCAGTAGGAAATAAAGAAAGTGTGTGCGTTTGCGTGCGTGCGTGCTCGTGTGTGTGGTAGAAGGGATGAATGATGATGTATGTGTGTATGTGCGTGTGTGTGTACGTGCGTGCGCGCGTGTGGGTGAGAGAGAGAGAACATCGTCAACACCGCACTCCGGCCATCTGGTGCGGTTTACGGCATCACACTCTGTATACAGCTGCTGGTGCAACTCTGTCGTCCATAACAAGTTGAACACTGCCTTAATTTCTTGATTATCGATTACCTTTCCGGATGATATTGAAGTATAGTTGCTAACAAAAACGAAAGGAAGCACATGGCGTGTCATTTGTAGTCCCTACAAGAACGTTGCAGTTCGTTAGACAGATCGATAATCCCTCTGTGTCGGAAGAATGGGTGCTGGGGGAAGTATCAAGTCCGTCCTCAGTACAGAAGGCGTCGAAACTCTTTTTGCGTCGTTTTTTAAAGGCAACCGAGCTTACAGATAAACTTTAGACAGTGTGATTATCTACTTGCTTCTCTATATTTTTCTTCTCTATATTTTTCTTCTCTTCTTCCTTTTTCTTTCTTCCTAGCATCTACTTTCTTTACTCTTTCGAAAAATCGCTAATGCAGAATTAAAGTCCCTGTGGAACGCCGAGTGCTTACGGCACACGCGACTCCATAGACTGGACACGTCTCGTCGACTCCGGCCTCCGTCTGGACTCTCTCGACTCGAGACAACGGTGCTTTGCCGACTATGGCTTTGTGTCGCCTTCACCAAAGTTTTCGCCTTCCGAATCGGCATGGAAGACAGTGCTGCTTGCGGTCATAACGGCAGCGATGAAACTATAGAGCACGTTCTCTGCCACTGCCCTCGTTACAGCGTGCAAAGACGGCAACTAGCTGCTGCGTTAGCTCGCCTTGACGACAGACCTTTGTCTGAACAATCAGTGCTGGAAAGACGACATGATTTGTGTGCTCACAGAAAATCAGTGAAGGCCTTACTGAACTTTTTGCGTGGCAGCGGCCTATTGTATAGACTGTAGCACCCCAGCTCCCCCCCCCCCTTTTTTTGCGCGCGTCTATTTCCCTCTTCGCTTTCTTTCCAATCTTTCTTCCCCATTCCCCCTTCCCCTAGTGCAGGGTAGCAAACCGGATGCTCCATTTTCTGGTTAACCTCCCTGCCTTTCCCACTATTTATTCTCTCTCTCTCTCTTTCATTTTTCTTTTCTAAAAACTAGGTATAAGAACTAAGCCGGTCAAAGAACTAGAAGATAGGTACAACCTCACTGCCTTTCCGCCAGCGTCGTAATTCCTTCTGAAGTGGTGCAGTGACGAGATAAAGCGCACATTGCTACTACAGCAAAAAAAAAAGCGCTTATACTAACTTTGTTCTTGCTGGCAGCCGCTCTTTCAGCCCTAGCCGACGCGCCTGAGGGTCTGTCCAGCCGTGTCGGCGAGGGCGTGGTGGCGGCCACGTTGTCTTCGCGGTGGCTCTTCCACGTCAACGTGGGCGATGCGGCGCGGGGAGCGGTGGGCTCGACGGCGACTCCGACGCCGCCGCCGCCGCCACCACGCGTCTGGAAAACCACGTTGAGCGGCGGCGCCTTCTCGACGTGTCGAAGCTGGACGTTGAGGAAGCTGGGCTTCTCGTCCTCGGTGGAACTGGCGCCGGCCGACGCGGCGTCCGAAGACGACGAAGACACGAGTACGAACTCGTCCGACGAGCGACGTCTCTCGGGCGCTGCACAGAGAGAGAAAGAGAGAGAGAATGTTCTGAGTGCTGACTTTTAAATAATGAATGGTGATGGTAAAGATGATGATAATGGTGTTGGCGATTCCGGGGATGCTTACAATGAACAACAAAAAGTAACATGACTCTGATACAAGACACAGAGGGCCGGAGTATGGTGGCACTCGCACTTGCTGTGATGGTCAACGCTAAATTATGAGCCATACTTTTCTTCCCTATCCATGCATTGGTGCGTTGAGTGTCTAGGAAGGAAGACCACGATGACCTTCACTGCGCGATGCACTAACCTCGTTTCATTACAATGGACGCCCATGATGGAGCTAGCTACAACGCAAACGTGAAGAACATTTCGGAACAATTGTGTTGTCTTCAAAGAGATTTTAAAACCGAACGGGAACTGAAGATACAAGTGCACCTCTGCTGCTCAATAAGTTGATTTACTCCGTCGTCAACACACTTGTAAAAAAAGGACAAAAAAAAAACAAACAGACTCGAAGCTGTTCCAAGCACTCACAAGTTCTAGCACTTCCTTCGCACCTAGATTGCTCCCTTTACTCGCCCAGGTGAGCAGGCAGCTAGACGAAGATGAAAAATGGCTGTTTCTTACAACAGGAAAATGAAACGAGTCCTCTAATCAGATCACAAAAAGGAAGTTGCTCGTCGGAACGATGCATAAAAGATGAAGATTACACCGCAAAAAACGGAGAACTTAACCCCGTTTTGCAGAAGTAGTCTGAATGTAAATACAGTGAGCAAAGAGGTCAGGTACTGTGGTGCGGAATCTTGACGAACACAATTTCGCAAAAAACAAAAAAACAAACAGACTTTCTGTTGCCCACAGTTTGTAATCGTCCCCTCGCAATCTGTAGTCATGACGCAAGGTTCATGAATCTATCATGTGTACATAATCCAGTTTAATAGATAAAATCAAGGTGGCGTGAGTATGACGGTGATTTTGGCATCCTCTTACGAGTCTTCATGGTCGCTTAATAACAAGAACGATTGGCCCAGAGTGTAGTTTTGCGCACGGGTATTCCTGTCGCAGACAGATTGGAGTGGGCTAGCTCTGAGTACGTGAGCAAGTTAGAGACGTTTGCAAGCAGTCACGAGAACAAAAAACAAATAACGATTTCAAGGCTGCAATCTGGATAGACATTTTGTGAAACATGACATTGCTCTGTCCACAGTGGCGGTGTATAGATGTGGTGATACTGAGCACAATGATATCAAGTGCAACCGCATTAAATATACAAATGGCAATCTTTGATGCTCGGTTCGAACGATCATCACTGAAAACGTTAAAAGTGCGTAGCACCCGAATCGGCAACCGGGCATGTCCATAGCTCTGCTATATCTTTAGTCATCTTCATCGACTGAACGGGATTTAAAATATCTTCGCGCGAACCAAAAATCGCACGTTTGCACGCACGCGACAATCTATGCCCTCCAGAGAACGAAGCAATGACAATGACACTCACGTTAAACTTCTTCTAAAATTACTAAACTTCTACAAGTCAAAGAGATGGGCTGAACAAATACAGTTGACACTGTCGAACGTAAAACATATGTCGAAACACAAAAGACATATGTCGAAACGTAAAAGTAAGTGAAAAACGTGTCGCAGCATTTCAGACATATGATTAACGTGTAAAGTTAGAAGAGGTGCCGTATTGACCAACGCCGAATTATTGGGTTTCAGTTGTATACGAAAACTAATAATAGTGAATAGGTGGTCATTCATTTAACAACAAACCCATGGACGACAACAGCGAACGGCACAGTATAATTGGAAAGGCAGTGGCAAATATAACGGAACTATTTTACATAGTCGAGCAGAAACGGCAAATTTCGCGCTATTTGACGAGATCGCCATCAAAACCACGCCAAGTTTGAAGAATAACAGAGTTTGGGCACCGAGAACCGAAGCGGGTTAATGATGATACCTGATTACACAGTATCCGATTGATGAATATGTCGACGTATCCACGACGGATGACAACAGGTGCGCTCACTGGCACACCTGCCACTTACGACGGCACTGCTCCCTCCCCGAATAAACGCCGCTGCACGCGCGTCTGGCCAAGCGAACGCGAGGACGGCGCACTGGGGACGTCTTGGTCGTCGTCTACGGAGGCGGCCACCAAATCGAGGTGGCTGGAAAGGAAGGAGGCGAGTGGGTGAAGAGAGAAAAGTACATAAAACGGAGAAGTCGCTGCGATGATCAAAGCCGATACGGAGACGAGAAGTAAAGAAGAAGGGCGACTGAATCGCGCACAGTCGCCGTTTCAGGCGCCGGCCCTTTTGGCGGGGAAGCGAAGGAGATACGTTCTGCCGTAGGGGAGAAGGAAAACGGACGAGCTATGACGGCTTGCCAAATAATGGGGCAGTGATCACGAGCAGTGGCGAGTGGATGAAAAAAAGAATATGAGATGAAAGGTAGAACAGTGGTGTCTCGCGAAACGAGGCAGGGGATAAGCGGAGGGAAGGGAGGTAGCCTATAATAAAACAAACATGAATGTCGGCGCGAGGAAGGTTCTCGTAAAATAGCCGATGGATCAGTTGAAGAACACGTTATAAGAAGCTTAGAAGGGAGGATCTGGCTAACGGGGAGGGCGTGTGAGACTCAGGCGAGCACTGAGACATCTCCCTCTCTCTCCTTTAGAAAAGTTTGCGTACACGGTGACATCGTTTCCATACCTGCGTTTTACTGTCTCATTTCGAGCCAAAATACGCAAACGTGACTGGCCCGCGGCCAGTCACGTTTGGTGACTTCCTCAACGACATTTCTTTCACTCTTTCTCTTTTATATCTGAGCAGTGGCGGCCCAAAAGGTGATAGGCATCGACTTTTGCTTTCGAAAGCTCTCGTGCAGGTTTTTTACGAGGTCCTGCAGCGAAGAAAAAGAACGAAGAAGGCCTCTCCGGAGCAGGTAAGAGGTCACCCGACGGCGTGACAGCTCTCACGGCTTGGTATATACTTGAGAATCTTTAAGGACGAAACTGTGTTGTACCAGGCTAGACATATGTAAATGTATACAAAATAGACCACGCGGAACGCCCGAAGCCCAATTCAGCTGTTTGTATTGTCAGTGCGTGTAGTACATTCGTTGCACTGCGTGGTCAAACGCGCTCAGTGAGGGACGCAGCGAGTCGTATACACGGTTTGTGAAACAGTTACTGCGAACAACTCTGTTAGAACGCCGGGAAGAGCCGAACGGAGAGGAATTATTTATTTACTTTTTTAAAAAATACCTGCATAACCGAGGGCATTGTTGCAGTGGGGAGGGGGGGGAGATACACAGCGTAGCATATGCTTACATAAAAGTACAACTATTCAATAACAAGATGAACACAAAAACAGATAACAAAAACGTAGCTGTGGGTGTAGCAGTATGTCCCTGAAGAATGCTTCAGTGCGGCAGTCTGCAATCTCCTGTGAAAGCCGACTCCACTGGTAGATTGTGTGCGGAAAGAAGGAGCATTTGTAAACGTTTATGGTTGGCGGGCAAAAAAAAAAAAAAAAAACAGCGCACGTTGGTGCGGGGGCTAAGACAATCGACGAAACTACAGTTCAGCACCAACTTTCTACCCAAGGCGTTCAACTCTCTCTAAAGGGCGACACCAAATTAGGGCAATAAAAACATTCCCGCAAAATTTTATTGGGCTTCAGCCTTTTCTTTCTTCATTGACGTTTTCGTGTCCCGTTCGACCTTTCTCAGAGACCCGCTGATGTCACCGATGATCTTTCATTTGTTGAGCGTTGTTCTGTTTTGTGTATGCATGCTTTTTACAGATCATGCACTGTGTATAAGACATCATTCCACCCAAAAACTATTTGTAGAAGCTTGCTCTGCATAAAACTAGAAGAATATGCTTCTCAAGGATTCTGTAAGGGTATTGTCGAGGCGTTGAAGCGGGGAAGTAGTCATCCTATAGAAATTCACCTCAAGAGATATATGGTGTAATGGCACAGTAATCGCATATTTTGCACCATAAGGAGCAGAACTAAGCAAAACGTGCATCTTGCTACGACAGGTCAAACGTGGGAGCAAGAACATTAACTGCGCCATTGTCTTATTGAAAACGGTTTCCATGGCTTCTTATCGCTTCTCTCAATGTCCGCTCAGTTTCTCCAACTTATAACCTGTTGTGCGCGTTTTGGATATTGTGGCCAGCCACAGGTCTACTTCTTCCGTTCAATATAAACTAACATGTCAGCTACACCTGTTTGTTGGCTGCCCCTTTGTACGATCTTCCGATCTCTTAGTGTTGACCCTATACTAATCAGCTGTTCCTTGGCGCGCTGCGTGGTATATAACTTTTTCACAAGTGCCCTTGTTATCCGCAAAGTTTAAGCACGATATGTTAGAACTCGAAATATACTATGATTGAACACTTTTCGTTTTTATACGGCGGCAGTTTTTCTGTCATGATTCAATAAACACACACAAAAAAGAAAGAATACCAGCAATCCAGTCTTCCAATTTCTATAATTGGCATACTCCCTCACATACCTCCTTCAGCCAAACGAAAAAAAAAAGCTGTAGAATTGTATTTAGAACAAAGGGCATGACCTTGAAAACGAAAGCTTGCCACGGTGTAGCGTTCTGCAGACATTTGCAATTAAATCGTTTATATATCCTTTGTACTTTAGGATATCCGCCCGAAGATCAGATGAAAAGGGACGTGAGAAGCCCGGTATACACTCTCGCAGTGATCACAAAAGTTGGCGCCAATTAACCCACCATGGGAACTCTATTTCTAACTTTGGTTACCACGTCTAATTCGCGCTTGACGTATAACGTAACCTATACACAGCCAACCGCAGAAGCAGCAGCAAACGTATATAGACCAAAGAAGAACACTTGCGCTAGATGAGGACAAAGTAGAACGTAAAGGATCACTCAACTATGTATACGGGTATCCGGAAACCAGATTCATAACACTCTTTTAAATGTTTGTCATAATCACCAGCAGCACCAGGCTGAGTAC